TGCCGAATAAGTCTACTGAGAGGGATTCACCCTGATGGAATGTGACTTTCATGATGGATCTGTGCAAGGACCATTTGTGACTGGTCATTGACTGTCTGCTCAGGAAGTCTGCTAAATTGTTGCTTACTCCAGTGAGGTGAAGGGCCATCAATGTCACCCCATTCTGATGGCACCAAATTCCAGAATGATTCCCAGGCAGAGGGGCAAGGAACAGACATTCCCTTTCTTATGTAGCGCATGACTGTCGTGTAGTCCAGGAACATCTACATTATCAAGTTTTGGAGAACAGGTAGGAACAACATACTGGTAACTCTGATGGCTACAAGCTCTTGGACATTAATTTGTAGCTTCACGTAGCTTGGAGACCAGGTTCATTGGATCTGTAGATAGTTCAAGTGATCTCCCCAACTTGTCCCTGACACATCTATGATTAGTGTCTTTGTCAGGAAGGGAAGTGAAAAAAGGGAATGCCTTTATGCATGGTTGGGAGTTCTAACCACCAAATCAGTTCAGCAGTGATGTGACTTGGTACTAGGATCTTCTGTCTACTGGGTGTTTACCAGAGAATTGATTCTAAGCCAAAGTTGAAGGGGCCACAGATAAAGTCTACCAAGTGACATGTATGTATATGCCAACACATTAGGTCATGCTAGACTGCAAAGTATGTTCATACCATTATAGGTAGCTCTGATGTCAACTGAAGTAAGAGTCCTTGTACCTGGAATCTGTCGTTAGGAAAATATGCTCCTTTTGATTTGGAGTCAATCCAAATTCTTCTGAACTTCACCATCTGAAATGGGGTGAGTACATTTTTATAGTTCACTGAGAGGGCTAGTCAGATAAATAGAAACAGAGTGCTGCCCTAGCTCACCAATATCGCCATTGTGACCTGTCTCCGATCAGCCAGTCACTCAAGTAGAGGTAGATGTGAATGCTTTATCTCCTCAGGTGCAGTACTATCCTGTGTGGCTTTTCATGGAGACCGTCGGTGCCATGGAGAATCCGAATGGCAACACCTTGTACTGAAAGTGATTGGATCCCACCACAAATTGCAAATACTTCCCATGGGCTATGTGGACCACTATATGAAAATATGCATCCTGGAACTCGAGAGCCACAAACCAGTCTTGAGCCTGAAGAGATGGAATGATGGAGACAAGAGCTGCCATCCTGAATCTGAAGGGTGCATATATTTGTTTAGTCTCCTCTGATCTAGGATAGGAAGAAGATCCCCTTTTTTCTTTGGGATAAGGAAGTACCATGAGTAGAAATCTCTTCACCTGTACTCCTGTGGAACCCTTTACAACTCTTAGATGAAACAATGAAGCCACTTCTTTTCATAACAGACTTTTGTGTAAGAAGAGTACCTGAACAGGGACAGGGAAGGGATAATGATAGGTGATTATATCCAACATCCATTTGTCCAAGGTGACAACAGATCACATCCAACAGAACAGGACATGGTGGCTTCCAATGGTAGGTGCTGGCTCCTGATCGGCTCGGATGTGGCTCCTGCAATTCCTGTCAAATCTGCCATCTGGCTGATGGGGCAGTGTTTGTGACAGAGGAGGTGGATGAACGACATCTCCTCTGATACTACAACATTGTTGGTAAGCCAGTTGTTTGCCCTGGGAGTAATGATGTACCCATTAGCTCTGTTGGGGCTGATATTTATAGCACTTCTTGTAGGAGGACAGTGTATAGATTCCTAGGGATCTCAGGGTGGCCCTCAAGTCCTTTATGGAATAGTGTGCTTCATCAGCCCTTGAGCTGAATAGCTCCAACCCCTTGAATGGGAGGTACATTGTGCCTCCCTTGGTTTCCTCAAAGTACCCTCAATTTTGATGCGGTTTTCTTCCCTGCCTTCCTCTCTCATTGGACTCCACTGGTGTCTGCCTAAAGGAACACTTGCTAAAGAATACTCCTGGGGTTCCTTGGAGGTTGATCTTGATGTCTCCTCCAAGTCTGAAATGATGCACATTGGCTGCTCGAGCAGGTGTAGTTTGATCTGTATGTCCCATGCCTTGAGAGTTCTTGATGAAACGGTTTATGCATCTCACACTTATCATGGAAATGACTTTCCCTAGACAGAAAAAGCATCAACTATGCCCCTTGACCAGGGGGATGAGCATGTTGCATGTCAGGCAGGCCTTAAACCTGGAAGGCAAGGGGGGGAAGAAGGTGGAAGGGAGTCTTACCTGTTGTCTCTTGCCCCCCCCACCCTTTTTTTTGAATGCCCAAATTAAAAAATTGGCACAAATAAGTCAGTAAAGAAAGATTTCTTAAAAAAAAACAAAACAAAACAAAAAAACCTAGTGTGGAAAGTAAGTTTGAAGCTCAAGAAAAATATCAGTTGAACACCTGTCAGGTTGCATATCAATTCGATAAGAGGAAACTGAGAGAAGGCTGCAGCCACTCCATCCTTTATGCCCTCACATAAGAGGGCACAAGAAGGTACAGAACATATGCATAGTCCAACAGACACTTACCCAAAACAAATCCAATTTTGCACACTACGCACACATCCACCTACTGTGGGATTGACACTGACACATATTTGAAGAAAAATGTTTCACCCAACACTGGCACATATTCGAAGAAAAATATTTCATCCCTGGTTATATTTGAGTTAGTTCAGGGTTTATTTTACTATTGAAAAATATCATTTACATCATTTATGACATTTATATACCACCACTTTCAAAATATAAAAAGTTTGTTTTACAAACTGATCGTCAAAGTAACTCTGTTTTACAGATGGGAAAGCAAAGTAGTAAAGTGATGTATCCAGGGCTGCACAGCAAGTCACTGGAAAAAAGCTTAGAACCTTCTGGAACTCAGAATTCTTTCCTCCATGGTATTCTGTTTTACATGGGCATGTTAGCGTTGGTTTGAAAATAAATTCTTACCCCTTGCCTAGAACAAACTGTATACTGATGAAAATCATTATACAAAGGATAAAAAGTACAATACCACTCGTACTGCTTGTATGCCTCAAAATAAAATGAGGGAATAATACATATACTGATATAGACAGCAAGATTACATAAAGTTTGCCAAAAGGCATTTACAGCTGTTGAAGACATAACAGAAGCTGATCTTGCCTGGCTTCCATAGCATGAATGAGGATTCACAGAAACAGGGATAAAGACACTTTTTGCTATTTCAATGACCAAATCAAAATTAATCTAGCTGTACTAGCTATTCAAGTAAAAGTTTGTTTTTCCTTATCTACAGTAAACATTAACTAAGAAAAATATTTAAGAATCATGCCTCTTTGTATCAAAATGAAAAATTATTCAAAGTTCATTTGTTGTGCCTGCATCTGCCTTTTCATTAGGTCCATATGGCAAACGAGTCTGAAGAGTAAAGTAATAAATGCAACTGCAAATATGAATGTGTCTCAATTCAGTCAGTTAAATCATTTGCACTCTATGCACCTGAAAGCACCAGAGACCTCCAGAGACCAAATGGCCAAGCTAAGCAAGCAGCTACAGGCAACGCTTGAGTTTCACAGACTGACTCCAGAAGTCACTAAGGCAGGGGTCCCCAATGCAATGGTGCCCGCCAGGCAGTTGTGTGCGCCCGCAGGACACCGCACCACCAAAGAACCGCCTGCCGAAATGACACCGAGAAGCATTGCCGTTTCTCGGCGGCATTTCGGTGGGGACACTTCTTGCCGCTGCCGCTTCTCGGAGGCATTTCGGCAGCAGGGTGTCTGGCACCTGCCACAGTCATCTGGGAATAGGAATATGCTATTCCCACAGAAAGGTTGGGGACCACTGCACTAAGGTATCAACACAAATAAGGAGGATTGCATTTTTCAGCCTATAAAGGAACACTTAGTACCATAAAACTAACTGCACTACCTTGGAACAGAATCAACTTTGCATTGTCTGGCTATCTACTCAGTCTGTCTGTCAAACCAATTAAAAGAATTGTACTACAGAGCTGCAGACACAGGTGACACTGCATCTGATGAAGTGGGTTTTAGACCACGAAAGCTTATGCCCAAATAAACTGGTTAGTCTCTAAGGTGCCATAAGTACTCCTCGTTGTTTCTGCTGATACAGACTAACACGGCCACCACTCTGAAACCTTTACATAATCTGTCACTTACTGTCTGGTAATGTTAACTTGATTGTTTTTCTTTTTTTAGCATTATATAATAATAAAATAAGCTAATGAACCGAACAGGCAAATACAGTAAATTCTGTAGAAATTTTCAGCTATATTTTAAATTGCACAAGCTAACATGCATGAATCAAACTTCACTAATCTTTGTAATATACATGAGATGAAAAATCTCAACTCACACTTGTGTTTTACCTAGATCAAAAGGGTACAGCTAACTTTTAAACTGACCTCACATTTAAAATTCTTAAGTAGCAAATTATAAATTTAAATATAAGGTTTATTAAAACCATGAACACCAAAATCCTCTGCCAACCCACTACCGTGGCAAAGCACTGTCACACTACATAAAATTCCCAACCCCTTTGTATTATGTTGGACTGACATATAGTACGTTCTTGCTTTAAAACAAACCCAAATGGGAGTAAGGAAGAAAAAATAAGCTGTCTAAAAAACCCACATATTCCTCTCTCTGAGATAGTATAATACAGTGCAAACTCTCAGACTTCTGCATAGCTGTTTCTAGATAGTGCCCATGGCACATGTCAAAAACCAATACAAGCTGAAAAAGACATAATGACTACCCTATGACCTGATGTCTTTCACTTCTAGATAATCCTTCAGGAGAGAGTTAGACCAGGTATGGGATCTTTGAAATTTAGCATTTCCCTCACAATACCCATAGAAGAAAGTCCCATCTGTATTTCTATAGCATTTACTACTATCCTAAAGATGTCAGTAGCAGAAACAGATAGTGACAGAGTAACAAAACACTGTTTGTGACATAAGATGAACAACATTATCCAATGTAAAATATTGAGAAAATCGCAGCAACTTTAAAGTGTAGAATTAAAAAGAGAAGTTACCTTTGAAGGTTTCAAGTTCTTTCCTGTAGAAGAGAGAAAGCAGAATAGAACGTCTCAGATTAAAAACAGATATGTTGCATAAATTCAAACTGCAACTGGGATTATCTATGATGATTTGCAATGGTTTAAAATGTATGAAAAGGTGAACTGAAGGATTTGATTATTGTGACATTTTTAGAAACTTGGTTAATGGAAACTTCAAGCTGCATGTACAGAGCTTGAAGAATTGCTTTCCTGGAGCAAGTAACTGATATCAACTTCTTTAGAACTGAGCTATCACATATTTCAAATATATATTACATATTTATATCTATTCTCACTGTTTCTAGATCATCTGGTTGCAAAGATAACATGAATATGAACTGAGCATTATCAATTAATAAATGAAGGCTTTTTAAATCCACTGACAGACACTAAGACATCCCTGCTGCCTCTCAGAGCTTTGTCAAGCTGTAGCAGAGTGAAAACTGACCACTGTCTTGTCAGTTTTCAGGACTGACATTCAAAACCCTATGGTTAGCAGTGAAAGACAAAAATCTGGTAAATTTTACTGTGCTACTTGAGCAAACTCCAGATGTAGCACAGCTTGATTTTGGAGTTATTTACCAGAGGAGGAGGATTCATATATGTGGAAGGAATAGTGACACCACAAAACTCTGCAACCTGAAAGAAGGAAGACAGGTAGAGCAGCAGACACACCCACTTATCCCTTCATACACATGCACTTTCCTTTCTGCCTGAAGGCATTACAGTGAGGTGAGCAAGAATAATTTAACATTTTTTCTTCCTTCTAGCACCTAGGGGAGAATTAAAGGGGTTGTGTCTTGGAATTATTATTTATGTAGGGTATTACAACACTAATTTAACCATAAATTCCTTTATTACATTCAAAGGCCAAATGGTATTTATACAATTGTTCTAAACATTCCTAAAAAAATCTAAATAATAAGCAATTTACTACATCCAAACAGTAACAAAACATTTTTTAAGCATTTGATCAAGATACTTACATATGGGCTAAGCCCCAGGGTGCTTAGACTCATATTAGTCTGCTCCAACATGGTCAGGCATATATTAGCAATGAATCCTTTAAGAGTTTACTTTTTTATACCCTTTAACAAACAAGTGATGTCATTGACAATTACTGACTTCAGCTAAAAACCAATTTGAAACAGTTCATGCTTATTTCCAGTCTCAATCTAGGTAAGATTTATAATCTCCTTTCTCCCCACAGCCATTTTTCCTTATCTTTTCCACTCCTTCTTGCTGACCAATATTTTCTACTTTGCACCTTGGTTCACATAGGCCCTAATTTTTGAGATAACATTGCTATGTGGGATGGGAAGAGCCATAATGGCTCATTTTAAGACAGATTCTCTTGTCATAATGAAAGCCCTCTGCAGTTACCCCTATTGGTCAGAGGCCTTCCTTTTAGAAACTTCCTTTTATTTCACTACTTATTCTTTGAACCAGACATCCACCCTACTTCATTCCCTCCAGCCTTACAAAGTCATTACTTTCAGGGCCTTTCTTTACAATACATTTCTTTAACCAAACTTAAGACAACTTTAATTCTCTAATTTTATATTTACTCTACAGAGTGAGTACTCAATTTGTCCATATCCAGCTCCACGTAATAGGTATATGATAAATTTGGAGACCGAAGCCAAGTCACGGTAGTAAGCTTATGTGGGGAAGGGGAAAGTTGAAGTTGTCACATGTGGTTTGTTATATCAAAGTTCTTTTCTGTGGCCAGTCACTTTTATTGTTCACCTATTTTTGCAGTTTAAGCCAAGATTCTGTTAAGACACTTGTAGATTATTATTTTTTAAATATTGGGCAATGTATAAGGCCCTTCTTAATTTGTGATACTGCAGAAATTGTGGATCCCGCAACATTCGGCTTCCACCACAATTTTGATTAGCTTCCTTTGCACAGTCCATAATTTTGCATACATTTTGAGGTTCGCAACACACACATTTCCGCCCCCCCCTCCCAATTAGTAGAGTAGAACCCTATTTATATGAGCGGATAGCAGCTTCAGCTCCTGCTGTCAGCCCCGCACACGGCAGGGCTCCTGCTGTCAGCCTCATGCATTAATGATTTTAAAACAGTTGCAGCAAAATGTCTGGTTATCAAAAAAAATTAGCAGGCATAACACAATACTTGAGTGTTTATATTGTTCCAGCAAATTTTTCTTAAAAACAAATTCCACCATTAATAAAGGTCCATTATTAATTTTCTGCAATTTTCCACCTCTTGTCCGCAACTCAGCCGCAATTAGACAATCATCCTGCAATTCAAGTAGAGCCTTAGCCATGTACTTATTCTTATTTAACTCTATAGTTCGACACTTTTCCAGAATTTACAGTTGTGATCTCAATTTCAACTCTAGTTCATCGATAACTTCTATTGTATCCGTCACAGGATGCAGAAAAGAGAGCATTTGATTCTTTATCCATCCCTCATGACAACTAATTAACTCAAATACCTACCTGTAAGATATGACACATTGAGAGATGGAGGTTTGCTTTAATCTCAAGGTCTCTTTCCCCTTGGATGGATTCCTGAAGCACAGCTCATCTTGCCTGTCTAGGGAAACCTGGAAGGTGGCAGTAGTGTAAGCTTGACATACTCCTGATTAAGGCTGTGAGTCTGTCACAGAGGTCACGGATTCTGAGAGTTTCCGGGACCTTCGCAGATGCCGGTGTGGCTGGCCTGGGGGCCGACCGAGCAGCTTGGTCACCCTGGGCCAGCCGCACCAGCCACTGCCCCAACCCCAGCAGCAGCAGGAGACTGGGTGTGGGAGGAGGTTCAGGGCTGGGGCAAGGGCTTGGGCAGGAGGGGGGTGGTGGCTCTGGGTGGCACTTACCTGGGGGTCTCCCCAAAAGTGGTGACATGTCCCTTGGCTCCTAGGTGGAGATGTGGCCAGGTGGTTCTGCGCACTGCCTCCACCCGCAGGCACCGCCACCGCAGCTCCCATTGGCTGTGGTTCCAATGGGCAATGGGCAGAGGCATCACGCAGAACCCCTTGGCTGCACTTCTGTCTAGGAGTTAAAGGACATGTTGCCACTTCCAGAGAGCCTCACAGGTAAGGAGCCTGCCAGCCCCACATACACACCCCGCAGCAGCAGTGGTCCTAGGCAGCACGCCACCCCATCTACCCTCCCAGAGCACCCAAGATTTAGTCAGAGGTATATAGTACAAGTCATGGACAGGTCACGGGCCGTGAATTTTTGTTTACTGCCCAAGACCTGTCCATTACTTTTACTAAAAATACCTGTGACTAAAATGTAGCCTTACTTCTGATAAGCACTCAGTAGGCTTTATTTTTTTTTTAATTTAAAATATAGATAAAATGTTCACAGGCTAAATGCACACTTAAAATAGTATATTTGAGATGTGTAATTTTTTGGCAATGCAACTCAAATATCCTTTTTAAAGTTATGCAGTAGCTTTTAACTCAGATTCCAAAAGTAATAAAAATAATTACTTTCTTACATTTGATGTAAGAGCTCAGTGTGAAATGGTATATAGCTGCAGCATTAAAACATTGCGAGCAAGCATAAATTTTATTATTCAAGAACTACATTGCTAGGAAGCAAGACTGTATTGGTAGGACCTATCAAACTGATATTCTTGAGCTAAATTTCCAAAGATTTTCTTTATAGATAAGCTTATTATGTACATTAGGCAAGAGAACAGCTCACATCTTTAATGGGATATATCAGGCATCAGGGGAATAATGTTAAAACAATATTAAAACAGATTGCAGAAACACAATCTAATATTCTGCTCACATCACAAAGATGGCACAAACATTAGAAAGTTATGGAAAACTTTGGAGAACCTCTGGGTCTATTTTTAGTTCACAAGTCAAAACTGATTTCTCCAAACTGAAAAAATCCACTTACTTTTCCTCCCCCACACCCCAAACACTAGAAAAATATTTTGGAAAAATCCCAGTAAGTTTTATGAGGATGTGATTCACTTTATATTTATTGCTTCAAAGGTGCACATATATTGTTCTAAACAAAAAGCTTGCAGTTTTGTAAGTAAAACAGGTCACCAATTGAGTCCCCAGTCTACTAACTTGCTAGACCTACTACTCTTTTGTATGCGCCTTTGGTAAATGTATCACTAATCTGTATGCTTTCTTAGGAACTATGCTATTATGAAATTTCAACCAAACAAATTTGAATGTGCTGAATCCTACTCATGATGAGAGGGCTGGACAGAAATGCAGATCTCTTAAAAATGGACAAAATTCTGAATTAATCTGTCCTGCTTTCAATGATTTTACTTCCACAATTTTTCTGTCGCTTTGATGCAGTGAAATGTGATGCAGTCTCCACAATTTTCTCTGTGTTCTTGAATGACAATATTTGCAGCATGGATCATAGCATTCTGCAGGGTTTTTTCCACATCCAGAAGCAATAGAACTGAGCAGAAATACTTTTTTCCCCCTGTATCTGTACTTGTAACCTTTCTTAGGTAAACTTCCATGTTGAACTGACAATCTTGCATTCATATCAATATGGTTTCTTTTAGTTCTTGTTTTAATTCGCCCCTCTCCTGCAGCTGCAACCTATAGTTTAAAACTGTAGGAATACACGGAGGGCAAAATGCTTCTATCGTTTTCTTTAAATTGCCAAGTTGAGGGCAGTATTATAATAGTAGCAGTTTTCATTTGTTTTTAATAGATTGATTACCAGTTGATCTTTGCCATCTTTGTGTGTAGAAAAACAAAAATTGCTCCTTAATTAATTGATGCGACAAGCTGCTGAAAAGACTGGTATAGGGAGTTTTGAATTATTTTTATGGATACGTTTTAAATACAGCCATCAAACATGTCTCCTCCCTTGCAGAACCATTAATCTCCTATCTTCTACTTCACTAGACAAAAAAATTTATATTTGACTTGAAGAATCAAAACAACTATTTTCTGTATCTTGTGGGAGAATAGATTAACATGAATCCTTTTCTGCTACATACATCTTAATGATATGTAAAGTTTACTTTG